ACACAGACAAACTCTGGGTCCAGACTTTTGTTTTAGTTTATGCTGCTGGATCTAATGCCCTTACAACTCAGGCATTGAGGCATGGCTTATTACAAAAAATACAGCAGCACAGTTTGTTCTGTTTCATTTGCCTGGTATGTTTGGTGTTCAGGGATTAAGGGAGGAGAAAGGACCAGCTATCCAGAATGCTTTGTTAAGAGGAGGGAGTAAATTTGATTGTCGTCAGCACTGGATTTCCATATGAGTGCTTAAAAGCCTGTAGCTTGTGAAGATGATTGCTCTAAAAATAGCTTCAGAGAGAGTTTGCAGTCAGGTCCAGTTTCAGGTTCTAGCTGAGTTAGCTTTATTAAACTTTCTTTTTTTTAACCACTGTTGCAAGACTAGATTGAGGGTAACTCGTTCCTTGTTCCACTTGGATGTTGATTTTGGACTCCAATATACTTATTTTATCCATGGATAAGGGACACTAATGCCATGGCTGAAGATTCAGGTATAATTCTAACCTTTTGGCAGAAACTAACCAAAAAAATGCATGATTTGTGATTTGGCTGTCTTTTTTGTGCTCAACAGAATAACCAGTTTATTGTAGTATGTGGATGCTTTGGATTCAATTTACTATTTTGCTCTGCATCACAAACTGTTTTATTTTTGCTATTTAAATGAATTCTGAAGTAGAGATCTTTTTTCCTAGGTTTTATGGCAGGTGGTCAGTCATACTCAACATAGTTTTTTAGCATTATATTCCTATTGAAATGGGAGGAATATTTTTTTTTACATGTGAAGGTTTCACTTGAACATGCTGTTGGTTTGTTTACTTTATTTATTTAAGGTTGAGCAAATTTCCAAACATATTAAGAACCGTAGGTAAATGAACAAATTTGTTCCAATATAACCTCTTTATTCATAGAAACCAGTCCTAGCCAGTAGGTTAACATTTGTTATTGAAGAGTATTATGCAGTTCAAGACACTTATGACATCTGTATAAAGACATATGGCAGGGTAAGCAAAGGCTTACCAGATATGGAAACTGACCTACTTTCTGCATAGCTGATATGTGCAGAGAAAGGACTTCAAAGTTGAATTAACTCCCTGGAATGAGTTCAAATCCAGAGTTAGTATTCCTTAATGGTTAGCTAGCTTTTAGCTCTGACTCTGTATATGTATGTTTGCCTCTGCAAGTGATGAATGAATCTTATGATGACAAATTTAACATTTCCTTTTAAAAATAATTGTTGCAAGTTAGAGCAGATCTGTTTTGTTTGAGTTCTGTATAGCAAAATTGTTCAAAGCACTTAGAGGTTGGGAGTCAAAGCTTGCAAATGGAAGCTACACTTGTAACAGATGATGTTTGTGTTGTAGGATCTGATTCTGCGAGACTTGGATAAAACTGTTTTTTAGAAGTGGAAGTGTGCAGCAGTAATATTAGGTTACTTATTTAATTAAAAAAACTATTATTTAGATGTCCTGTCTTGTTGTCTGTGGTACACAGTCCTCTTTCCAGAGACACATAGTGGTAAAGAAAGTGCCACGAGAGAAAAGAGTATAGAAAAATGGAAGTGTAAAATAGAATCCTGCTATATTTGCTTATGCAAATACAAATAGTTTTCTTTAATGATACGATATACGATCTTTGTCACAGACTTCTTTTAAAACGCCCATTTAATATAAACTGTTCGTATGAAACATAATTGTGATTATGTACTTGTAAGAGTTGGATGTGTGGTGGTTTAGCTTATAAAATGGCATATTTATCTATGCTCTCTGTAAACATTCAGTAACTTTTTAGCCAGGGAATTTTTTTTTAATTCCTCATTTTTTTTAATGTGATTTGTAATATTTGCTGAATATTACAACACATTGTTTATCTTTGCCTGCAACCTTCCCTTGTGAATTTAACCAGTAATCATTAGTGTATTGAACTATACTCACATGTCCAAGCATGAGGTTAAACCGTCCTAATCTTTTTCTAAAGATTATTGGAAACACCATACTAGGGGAATGTTATGGTTAGAATGTCAAAGAAACAGAATTCTATACTTCTTTTATGTTCTTATAATCTGTGCTTCTAGGACCAATATTAAATAGAATTTTTTTCCACTATAAGTATTGCATCAGTAACAACTGAGCTAAGGCACCTGTTTTTGTGACTCTTTACTCTGCATATGATGCAATGAATATGGTGAAAGGTTAGCTTAGTATGTCTGTGATCCTGACAACAAGGAGGGACTGGAAGCCCTTCTGCGCTGACTTCCCCTCCCTCCCCTGTCCCTCTCTCATGTAAGTCAGCTAAAGAGGCCACCACTGTCCCTACTTCCTCTAGCCTTATCTAGGGCTAGTACCTTGTAGTGTGCTGTCTTTTTTTTTTTAACTTTTGATCGTTTAGGTCTAGTTTTGCCTAATTAATCCTACTAGAGATGGCAAACAAATATTTGATTAGACTTAATATGATAATACTGACATTAAACACAAATCTTAAGCATCATTAATGTACTGTGATTAAATATTCTTTGTATTTGAAAAACGTATAACATATCTTTTTAATTAGGTAAAGATTTGGCCTAAACTATTTGGGTTAACTCCATTGTCTGGCAACCTTTGAAAAGTTGAGCCATTACAGTAACTTAGCGGCTGTATTGTTTGATTATAATACCCTTTTGTAAAGTTTTTACTTTTCCCTGGTGGGTTTGAAGTGCATGCACGTTACACATCTAAATAATCACTAGTTCCTTTTCCTTCTCATTAATTGTATTGGCCGACTCCCTTCACCTGTGAGAAAATCCAGGAAAAAACTTGATTATTCTGTTCTTCATTTTATTTACGTTTATAACGTGGTGTGTGTTCTTTTAAAAAATGTGGCTAATGTTTTTTGGTATTTTTACTTTTATTTTTAAAATAATTCATGAGCTTTCTTATTTTTAGCTGTATTTTTTTCATTGTAACTTTAAATGTAAATTTAATGTCTCCAAGAAACATCTTGAAGGTTTAAGATATTCTATAAATACATCAAGAGCATTGATGAATTCTGTGCTTTCAGGACCATAGTTCAGATGAATGAGAGCTGTTAATGGATGTTGCTTCAAAAAGGGACTTAACTATTAGTTAATAAAGTTAACCAGTTAAACAATTAAAATTTAGATCGTTTAACCAGTTAGCCGTTAACCAAGGTCCCTCCAGCCGGCCTGGCGCAGCGGGGATCGGGGGTTCCTCCGGCTGACCTGGTGCAGTGGAAGCAGAGGTTAACGGTTAAGGTCAGTTAATGGTAAGCTATTGCTTACCTGTTAACCGTTTAACTTTTTACATGTCTAGCTTCAGATTATCATTTTTCTGGAGTTGTTTTGAGGAGTCTGCTAGCTGTGCTTTCTCTTCCACAGAAAAATTGAACTTTGGTTAGTCAGTATTTGGAGTTCCTTCTCAGTACTTTTTCCAGGTTGACTTTCCCCCCCCCCCACCCCCCCCTGAATACTGCATGGCACTTTTTATGAAGCCTTCCAAAAGGGTTTAAGTCTGTGCGTTAAGGCATATTCAATTTTAGGAGGTTCTAGCTTCCTTTATGGAAGTGGCCTACTCCTTCCATTAATTTATGCCTAAATTATTTCTGCTTAGCATGTTAGCTGAAATACGGTTTTCAGTTTGTTTTCAGGGAACAGTTCCCAAAGATTTGTGCTCTGGATACATTAAGGTCTGTAATTACTCTTTAAACATTATGGGCTGTATTAACCAAGTCTTAACTCAGCAATGCAAGGAGTAGGTTGTTCTCCTGCTTAGATTGACTGTCTGCAAGATTAAGACTGGGACTACCTGTCTGATTCTTCTGTGAGAAGTGGGTGGGGGGTAGGAATAGCACTGGGTCTGCCATCACTTGCCAGCAAGAATTGTTGGCTAGGTACACAGCAGGGAGTAAACTGTTGTATGAAAATGTTTGAAGTAACCTTTTCCCTAGAGCAAGGGGGAAGCAGGGGAGAAATTTTGATGCTCTGAGTCACATTTCTTTCTCTGCCCTTAATAAAGGGAAGCTTGTACCAGATTGTAATTTTACAGTTTAGCCCTTTGAATTGGGTACATAATACACTAACTCTGTTTGTTTTTAACATGAAGGCTTTAGAAACTTTTGGCAAATGGATAAAATCCATCATTTGCCTCATCATTTTTGAGTAGTAGAGAAGGGAACAACAAGGTGTCTGAGTTCCAGATCAAAACCTGTAATGTGTTCTAGCATTTGAGTTCTGTCTACATACGTGACAATGGTGTGGCTTTTTAAAATGAGTTACCTCAGTCAGTTTATCTTAACTAGATTGAAAATCCCCTTTAAACCAGTGTAGATCTGATTTAACACCTCTTAGATCCTTTGATCTGGTCATATTGTCACTTTGGTGGGAGCCTAGGGAAACAATACAACCAATTTAAACCATCTAAAAGGAATTAAACTGTGTATATACTGGCATTAAGGAGGTGGATGTTCAATCGCATTAGCTTCACTCATTTAAAAGACACTTTTTGCCGCGTACGCAAACCCTGGAAGTCTATTACAATTACTACTACTAATAAAGGAGATAATAGTAGTGAAAGTCACTTAAACCTGATCGAAAACTTACACTGGTCTAAAACTTATATCAAACGATCTATGTCACTTGGGGTTAAGACGACCTAAGCCCTGGTACTGAGCCCAGAAAACTGCTAGGTCAACAGATGAATTTTTCCATCAACCTAGCTACTGCCTTTCCAGGGGGTGGATTTACAACAGTGATTGGGAAAAACCCTTTCTATTGCTGTAGCAAATGTCTACACTGTAATGCTATAGTGGTATAGCTGCAGTTGTGCCACTGTAGTGCTTGTAGTGTAAACAGCCTTACAAAGGTTATTGAGCACTTCGTATTACTGAAATATTATTCTAGAATACTTTTACTTGCACAATTTGTAAAAACATGCATACTTTGATAATAAAATATTATGCATTCTAATAGTAATCCAGTTTCCATGTTTACACATCTTACTTTAACAGAGACAAAGCATGGAGGAAACAAGAATGGGAAGAAAGAAGGCCTCTCTGGAAGCTCATTTTTCACCTGGTTTATGGTAATAGCACTGCTGGGAGTTTGGACATCAGTAGCAGTTGTTTGGTTTGAACTTGTAGATTATGAAGAAGTTCTAGGTAAGAACTTTTATGTCTTAATATGTATAATTTAGTATGTCAGAAAATGTGCTACGTGTATCTTCATTCATTGAATAGAAGCATTTTCCGATTTTCAGGAAGAAAGACTGAAGATTTAATCTTGCCTTCAGATTGATGGGAGCACATCACCAATTTGTAAATTAACTACTGCACATATATTTTCAAGTGTATTATTTTTACAAGATAAATATGTCAGTGGACTCCATGCTATGATAGGATGCATACTGTGCTTTGTGTATCATGTTTAAAATTCACAGTTCCAATAGTGTTTTTAAAAAAAAAAAAACTTCATATTTGTTAGGCGCTAAGAAATCTGTCCAGTGTTCACCTGACATTACACATACAGATGCTTTGTTAGTTTGTCCTTGATCTTTGATGCAGGTGAAGCTAGGAGAATATTTTATACTTGAACTGTAAGGTTCAAGCATCTGATTTAAAATCTGATCAGGGTCTGATGATGCAAATAATGGTTTTTGTATTTTTACCATGCATGCAGCCAAAGCAAAGGACTTCCGTTATAACTTGTCAGAGGTACTTCAAGGTAGGCTATTGGGAAACAAACTTCCTTCACTCTCCCTGGGATTAAAATCTTATGCTAATCATATTCTGCTTTACTCTTTATTTTAACTTTTAAAAAATTGTTTTTCCTTCAGTCATCATTCAAATGAAAGACTCCGGCATTCTATTATTTCTGACTTTTCTTCCTATTCTTGGAGAAAATGCAATTCTTCTTTACTAGCTGAATGTTACAGAATTTCTAACTATGTACTTTAACCTGAAAATCAACAGCAGTAATTTAGATTTCATTGTTGCAACAGAATAGTGATGGCTTACTTTGTCTACTCTGGTCCTGTTCCTGGAATTCAGCTTCCACCAAACTGTGTCTTATTTTCTAAACTATATTTTAGTTTATTAAAATATTTTCTGTAGGATTATTTTTTGTGGACAAGAACAGGAAAATAGTGGTTACTTTTTGTGTTTTGTTTTTTGTAGAAATTCTGCCACCGTTTTAGTGGTTGGTGACAGTTCTTTCCTAAAGGAAAAAAGCAATGGCATGCTCACGATAAACTGATAAGCTGTGATAACCTCTAAATTTTACAACTTCTCCCCATGATTTTACAGCATTGTGAGTCAGGCTTGAGTTTTGCCATGATATTGAGATTATAAAAAACTAATTAAGTATTAAATGACCTACTAATTAATTTGTTGATCCCAGGAAACATCTACTTTTAGATGACATAGTTTTAGGTAATGCTTTGTTTTCTAAAAGAGACTACGTTCCCCGGAGTGTTAACTCTATGGCTGCTAGAGCTACTGTGGCTGAAATAAAAGAAAAGCAAGACCTCTAATGTTTTGATCATGTATTAAAAATCCTTACTAGATTTTACTGATTAAGTCAGCTACCATTTATGACATGTTGCTTTTGCTTAGCCATGTATACCAGGGCTCATGACTAGTGGTGATGATATGCCCTGGATGATGATTAGTTTCTTAGCTATAGTAAACATATGTAGCCATTGGTGAAATGTCTGTGAATTCTTTCCCACTTTTTGTGGGATATGGGCTGCTTCTGTTCCATTAACCCAATACGGAAACCAGTCACCATAATTTTAACTGTCCGATTAACATTTTTATATATGGGAAGTGTCTAGAATAGCAGTCAGTAATTAGAAAGAAAAAAGAAATGGTGATTATACGATTGCATAAATTTGGTTGATTACACCCTTTCAGATTGCTCGTTTTTACACGGCTAGCTTTGAATTCAATACATTCAGATAAAGTGCACAATTTCTAATTGAATTATATACTTGCTATTGTAAGTGACAGACTAAAGAAATTATGCATTGAAATAGATATCGACCTATACTCCAGTAAGAATCATATTTAGAGAATGTGTTGTACTCAGTATGGTTTTGCAGTTTTACGCATGACCTAAAATTGAGTTAAGCAGAGAGAGGCTAAATTGTTAATGTTAATAATAATATATTAAAATATAAAAAATATATACAACCAACTGTATATAATGAACACATGTTGAACATATTACTCTGGAAGCATTTTACTCAAGTCCTTCATCCTTATCCCTTCTTTTTTGCATTTTAGGCAAGCTTGGGATATATGATGCTGATGGAGATGGAGATTTTGATGTGGAAGATGCCAAAGTTTTGCTAGGCAAGTACACACAGAACTTTTTGGATTACAATCTGAAGGCTATGTTACATAGACTTCAATATTTCATATGGCTTGATTTGTCTTAGTTTATGATATTAAGTGATTAAATCGGGAAATAGAGAAATACCTTAAGAATATAATTCTTTGCATGAAAATTGTAGGAACTCTTTTTTTTTTTTTTCCTCCTAGTACCTTTACAAAATAGGTAGAATTATTTAGTACCTCACATTGCTTGACTTTAAGATCCTCAGGCCTCAAAGTATTCACTTATCACTATACCAAGATTTTTTTTTAATTGATTATTTTATGTAAGATGGACCAGTACTTCAAATGCTCATAGTATTACAGCATTGTTCAAACAAACATATATGTCAGATCTGTTGTAAATCAGGTTGTAGCAGAAATAACTAAATATTATATAAATGCTTTCAATACATTAAAAGTATGAGCATTTTGCATTTATTTTCTGTTGTCAGAGGGGTCATGAAAGCTCCAAAGATCACTGTTTGCTTCCTTTGCCCTTCAAAGGTCTTGCATAACATTGATTATCCCTTTGACATAGAAAAAGCCTAGTCTAGGCTTCCTCTGGAGCACACCAACATTAGTCCATTTGTGCCTAGAGAATATCTTTTCTTGTACTCACCTGGAATTTTAGGGGAGATATTTCTAAAACATAAACTTCAGATACTACTCATGTCAATGCACTACAGCAGATTCATTAAGACCTCTGGACCACCATGTCTCAAACTTGGATCAAGACTTGCACAGTTATTTCATATGTAGCTGAAAATAAGTTCCATGTTGGGTTTTGACTTCAGTTTTTTTTTCTTTTGTTCTTTTGTTCAAATTAACCCATTCAGAGTTCTGGGGACATATATAAATGTTACCAATAAAAAAAAATACATATACTGTTTGGACTGATGTCCAAACTAAATCTTTCTGAATCTCTCCCACAATTCCCTTCCACTCTATTATAACAACATTGATCATTACAGTCTTTAAAAAAAAAAGTAAATAGGGATCCTGAATAGAGGGAAATAAGGAGCAATATATTGATATCAAAACTCACCTTACTGTTGAAACTAAAGAGAAAATAATTTGTTTTTGTTGATTAGAAAACTTTGAAAAATTGTTACTCAGTGTACAAAGCTGGTGAAATACTTTGTCATCAAATGGAATTAGAGTAACTATTTACCTTCACTGTTTGCATCTTGATGGTGCATCATTGCAACATATTACATAAGAACAGCCATACTGGATCAGCTCAAAGGTCCATCTAGCTCAGTATACTGACTTGCAACAATGGCTAACGCATCGTGCTTCAGAGGGAATGAACAGAATAGGCAATCATCAAGTGATCCATCCCATGTTGCCCATTCCCAGCTTCTGGCAACCAGAGGCTACGGACACCATCCCTACCCACCCTGGCTAATAGCCATTGATGGAGCTATTCTCCATGAATTTGTCTAATTCTTTTTTGAACCCAGTTATAGTCATGGTTTTCACAACATCCTCTGGCAAAGAATTCCACAGGTTGACTATGTTGTGTGAAGAAATACTTCCTTTTGTTTGTTTTTAAACCTGCTGCCTATTAATTTCATTTGGTGACCCCTACTTCTTGTGTTGTGTTGGTGCCACACTTCAGTGCAAACTTCCAGTATAGAATCAGGACGTTGTGCATGCTCTCTGAATGGCCATTTAGTGCTACCCTCCCCAGTTTTTGTCTGAAGAGAGAGGCAAGAATCTTTGTTCTTCAGTCCATTTGTTTAGCTCTTCTGTGTAGGGAGAGAACTCCTGAGATCAGAGCTACACTCAGTCTACTGAAGATCAGGCAGAGCAAGAAGAATTCTAATCAAACCTATGACTATGGGTGCTCTGTGTATCTGTAGAGCTACAGATTGGGAGCTGTCACTGAACATTACACATGCTTGTATTTTATCTTGTTTTCTGTCAACTTATGATGAACTCTAACAGATTTTTTTTCCTGTAATCATTCTGCAAATCTGAACTTTCTCATGGTGTATATAAATAGGACAGTACTCTGACTATTGCTTTTCATGCCAGTCTCATTCTGGCTGCAAAGCTGGAAGCAAGATACATGTGTTGCTCTTCGATACATCTCCACTTTTACAGAACTTGATATGATTGGGGATTCTGCCAGTTATGTGACACTGTTTCTATAATAAACTCACCTTCCCATGTGCATAAAACATAAATACAGTCTCCTTTAAATATGTTAGAAAAGGTCACAGATTAGTTACCCCCCCCCCCCATACCAGTTTTGGAATATAATTTTATGGTTACATCAATATGTTCTGGAGGATGGGAAAAATAATTTGGTGGTTTTAAGAAGTTCTGTTGCAGATTAATACACAAACTTTAGGAATTAAAAAGTAAAACTTGTCAAGTGATGAGTCCATAGTATGATTTAATTGCAGGTCACATTTTAGGAAAGAAAGAGATAGTAGCCGAGGAGCTTGGTTCTGTATATTATCTATTTATACAAGGTTACTGGCTGTATAGTACCATATATATTCATCGTGCTCTAAAGGCCAGTAAAAGACATGACCCTGCCCTGAGAAACGTGCCGTCTAAAATTAAATCTGTGACGCTAATGAAGAAACACGTATATTAATAAGGCTACTTCATCTGCTTGTGTGTAACTATCCAAGTACTTGCCTGTTGTGACTATTTTACTATGTATCTTGTCTGACTTTGATTAGAATTTTTTTTTCTTTTTGTCAAAGGATATCTTTTGTGGTGCATATATCTGTGGGAGTACAATATTAAGTGATTGTTTCTGTGCTAATTTAATACAGTATTAATAATGAGAAGATCTTTACTGCATAATATTTAATGCTAATAAACAATTTTTTTTCCTGCTCTTAAACTGGCCTTTAAAGCAGGAGAGAAACCACTGATCTTTAAAATCCCAGACATCAACTTCCAATAATGCTGTAGCTGCTAGCAGGAGGTTTAAATTGTTGTTTTAGTTAACAACTTAATTACAAATGCAATTTACATTTTCTAAATAGTGAAAAGTGTTTCTCACCAAGGTGCTTTCAAGAGGAACAAAAGGAGTGTAGGTTTTTATTGCAGGGGTGTGATAAGTAGTTGATTTAATATACCATGTGCTACGATATTTATGTACCCTGGAACATGAGGAGATTGCAGTATCAACCTTAAATTTATTTTGTATTGATTTTTGGACCCTATTGCTCTTCCTGTTGAAGTGATTGACTTCAGTGGGAGCAAGGTTGGGTGTTTGGGTAGTACCCTTCATACATTTGAAGCAGTAGTGTGTGGGTGGGCAGAGAACTTTTATCTTTCTGCCCAAACAGAACAGTTATTTGGGTTTTTAAGTTCAGTCCCTGAACTGTATATACTTCTCTGATGCCATCAGTTGTAGGCCCTTATTTTCAGGCTGAATTGATTTAAGTTTTGGGGGATCTTTGGAAGATGCATAAAAAGACATTGGGGATGGCCTATAACTACTGCATGAAGCATTGGAGTTGCACTGGTGTAAATGAGGGCAGAATTTTGGTCCAACTTTAAGCAACTATAAGGTTCCTGCATTATTTTGGCTGGAGTAAATAAATGTGTGGCTAATTTAAATCTATATTGGATTTCTCCATATGTGTTATAATTTTGTTTTTAAAAATTAATGCAAAGCATCATGTTTTAAGTTGCCAAACCATGCAGTAAACAAAGTAATCAAGAATAGATATTAGCTTTTTTAATCCTGCTGTTCTTTCTTTGCTGTGTTACGCACCTTTTATAAAAATAAAATAAAAATCTATTCCTTTTTTGGTCTAAGACAGACACTTTAGGATTTCTCTAGGATGGTTTTCATATAGGCAATGTATATTAGCTTGGGTTTTGGATTTTTTTTTTTAAAGACTTAAAAAAAAGTGCTTTTGGCAGTCTTTTTCAAGTTCACCACTAACTGCCTGTTAATTGGCTGGTTATCTGTTGTGTTCTTCCTATATTGTTGGAACATATTGATTGCTGGCTACTTTCTAGTAGTACAGAGCCAGAGCAGTGGTTTCTATATACAAAAAAAGTAAAATCATTGTTTGTTTTATCGCTCCCAGAGACCCCACTTAGATCAAGCTCCTGTTGTGCATGATACTGTGCAAACATAATAAGTCTTCACCTCAAAAGAGTTTATAGTCTGTACACTTGTAATTTTGATTTCTTTTAGTAGCTCTCCACTGCTCTGCCAGCCCCAGCTCATCCTGTTTTTGTTTTAAAATGAATAAATATACTTTTTTGACATAATTCAGCCTGCAGATCAGATCATGTCTTGTGTTGTATCCTCAGCATGCCAGCAGGGGGAATTGTCAAGCAAGTACAAAAAAAATTATACTATGGTGCTATAGAAAACTGAGGTAGAAAGGATAGAAAACAAGAACAAGCAAAACTCTTGATACCCACCTCTATATATAAGCTGGAATGAGCAGAATAACTCCAGCAGCACTTGATCAGGCTCATGGATATTGACTACGAGCAAATTTTACCCTTTACTTGTGACAAACTTTTGTTTAAAATACACAGTTGTTAAACTAAACATTGTTCTCGGATGTTGTCATAGAGATTTAATAATTGTGAGCTCTACAGTTTGATTACCTTAAATTGGATTTGACCGTTCTAAGCAGAGATGCTTAGTTTCTTCTTTGAGTGCTTACTCATGTCAATTCCATGTTAGGTGTGTGCATGCCCATGTGCACAGCTGCTGGAGAATTTTCCCCAATAGTATTTATAGTGCTGGGCATAGTGCCCCCTGGAATCCTGTGCTCCTGCATTGTTATAAGGGACAGTGCCATCCCCACGCCCTCTCAGTTCCTTCTTACTGCCTGTTGCTGGACAGTTCTTACCGACAGTTGCTGGAATGTTCTTCTCTCTTGCACTTGCAAGTGTTCCTAGTGGTTTTTGGTCTCCGTTTCTTGTATATAGTTACCTATTAGTTCTTAGTTGTTAGATTAATTAGTATAGATAGT